TATGTAATGTATAAAGTTGTGAATTGCCTGAACATCACAGTCGGTAAACAACACTTGTTTGTCGTCTCGTTAGTAGATTCGTAACGAAGAATTCACTTACCTAATGAATTATTCGGGGGCGATATACGGGTTGTCTGGCAGAGAAATTACACTGTCAAAATAAATGGAAATTTGCCTGCAAATCCGGCTTATGCATACATTTCTTTACTCGATACCTGACATCAGCAGAGTGCCCAATCGGATCGGTCAGGGTCTTGTTACATGTGAAAAGTGCAAGATTATCCGAGTTCATGCGCGGATGTTTGCGAACGCCGCGATGTTAAATTGACAAATGTGATTTATCGTCCCGATCGGTATCGCACGCATTAGTTCTGTGACGCAGTGGTGCCCAACTGACAGAAACAAAACCAATGGTTTTAGAATGAACTCACCTTTGGTAACGGATGATGAGTATCGGAGTGTTGTTGGAAGACGACACTGTCATTATAAGAAGCGTCGGCGAGACATGGACATGTAGTAATTCCAGTAAGCCATTTTACCACTCTCTTTTTCCATTTAGCCACTTCATCGCCCAACGCGCCGTCTACGCATTCCGTCTTACTGAGATATATAGTATTTCAAACAGTTGAAAAAACAGGATACCCCACGAGCTAGTACCACAAGCTAATGGTTCCAAAGGAACTTGCACTTTAATTTGAGACAGATTGCTATCATTTACGGCAATCACCTCACTCCGAGGGATCCCTTTTTTCAAGAGAATACTCCGTGAACTTGAAGTTTTCTTAGGATGAATTCATCTACCTAAACTGTGTCTTCATGTGAAATTAGGGCAGAGTCCGACTCCGGGTGACAGTCTAGTACACCACACCGCTGCTTCAGAAGTTCATGTGCACAAGGACACTTTTGCAGAGGTACATCTTTTGCTGTAGGGAGGGGTTCGAGGATTTCGTTTATGGTCGTTGTTCACGATGTGCCCATTTCAGACAGACAAATAATAGAATGTACATGGTTAATTCTTATTATGGAAAACATTAGGAATACACTCCCTGGTCGATGAGTATTCATGGTCCGAGAGTACGCCTCAAGACGCGAATTAAATCTATATTACACACACCAGAATTGAAAAGGGATGGCTTCAAACAGAAGTTAGTACATCCTAGTACTCACCCATAGCTAAATTGAAGCACGTTCTACATATATCATTTCATTGCCGCGTATACTTGTTTGGTGGGGTGCATAAGTTGTTTGCTGTATGGCAACCACGTTTACCAGGGCACCTTGTGAAACAGTCTCTTCCCGACCAGTAGTTTGTTGGGAATCATGACTGTTGTGAACTTCATGAAAAATGTTAAACTCCCTAAGGTAGTACACGACAAAATTTATAGCTACATTGGGTGTTTTACCACACGGTCAAACGTGAAGTTTTGAATCTCGTTTAAATGCTCATTAATTACCAACGAATTGTGGGGCCTTGAGCACACTAAGGAGGAAAAGATTAGCCACGAACGTTCATATTGGTGTATTGAAACTAAGGTGCTCAGTAGGTCACATGGTTACTTCCAAAACTTCACTCTATTTTGAATTAATCAACGCCATTTAAGTTGCTAGTAAAAAGGCCATCCTGCACGTACGATATTTGCTGTTTAAGCCCGACCGCAACTGAAGTTATACAGTGGCACTGAGCAATAAAACTTAGACTCGAGTCTAGTATTTGCTACCTTGGTTGTGTAAAAATGAGAATAACATCAACAGGACAGAACATAGTTCATTCCATCAAGGGCAATGCGAATGCAAACGCTACAGCTCCTATATGGTCATAGCACTTTCTGTTATCTCCGCACAATAGTTTGTTAGAGCAATTACGTTGGCTACATACGGTGACCGGTGTTTCTGTTTCGACAGTTAACTGTTTGCTTTGTTCATTGTTTTCAG